GTGTGTGTGTGTGTGTGTGTGTGTGTGTGTGTGTGTGTGTGAGCACACTGACAGCATCCCTGAGATGTTCATGACTGGAGGTGGAGCTACTGAGACTCTGTTATACAATAAACCAAAAACACCGTGGTGATACCATGGTACAGTCATGATACCAGATGCTACTTTGATGTATATCATGGTAATGAATGATTACAGTGTCATACACCATAATACATGTCCAAATGGTATCATGTCCAGAAAACATGGTAATAGCATGTGCATGTTTCCAAATCAAATGTACCACGATAATACCTTGTAGCTACTTCTGGTTTATTGATCATGTAGGCTACCATAGTATGAATTTCAGGACCATGCCATATATAAAGTACCTTGACAAATGAATGGATAAAAATATAATTATTCCATACAGACTTTCAATTAATAGGCTATCAATAAACTTGTATACACAATATATTTTAGTATTATTTATATATTATTATATTATATATTTATATGTATTCATTTTGTATTTATTAACATTTTGAATTAGCTTTTTTATGTTTTCAGTTGTCATTTAAATGTAAGTTTTAGTCATAATTAAGTTAAGTTTTTCATCTGATATTTATATTTTGTTTTATTTCAGCTTTATTTAAATTAATGAAAACGATTTTTAATATTTTTGATTTTAGTTTTAACTTTAGTAAAAAAACAACAACAACAACAACAACACTGATGTATACAAACATACATATTTTAGAAAATAAATTAGCAGAATCATTAAAAAAGTTTTAGATTAAATCTAAAATGAAATACATCTAAGATGAAAGCATGTCACATTATAAATGAGGGGTCTGTGTACAGATGTGTAAAATGTAGTAATTTCTTTTCAAATATTGTATATTTCTAAATGTATTTATAACGTGATTAATTGAATCATGATTTACTATATATATATATATATAGTGTGTGTGTGTGTGTATGTGTGTGTGTGTGTGTGTGTGTGTGTGTATAGATTTTTTTTAAGAAACAACCTCTTATATTAACGTTTTTGTTGTTTGTTTTGGTTGCATCTATAGAGTGTAAAAAATCTTAAATCAAATGTACAGGTTTACAGTGTTCCTGAAGTGGCTGAGAATCTATAGTGGAAGGTCACTGGATTTTGAAAAAGTTGACAAAGAAGTCATCTGAGTAAATTCTATACGGTCTAAATTGTTTTTCATCCCTATCTGTGTTGATGCTGTGTCCATCCAGGTCCTCATATGTTGGTGGTGTGTCTCTAAACGGGATGAGAGTCTCTCCGCTCCTCCTGTGGCCTCCCACACAAACACATGCCGCTCATTCTTTCCCAGTCCCCTCACGAGTCGCCACCTGCTCCTGAGCGTACGGCACAGCTGCTGACCAACAACAACAAATTAACACCCACCGTCCTTACTGACACAAACCCAAAAGATGCTCTTCCTCGTTCCTGCTCCAGTCACACTTAAAATGTCATTGCAATAGAAAACAATATAAAAGCAAGAGTCATTTATAGTAAATAAATATGCACAAACACACTTTTGTGTACCAGCACTTGTACCAGTGTTATTTTAGTATCATTGTAGCTCTAATTAATATTTAGATTTTTTTATTTTCTGTTTTCATTTTAATTTTAGATAAAGTTTTCGTATGTTTGTGTTTTTGTCTTTTTTTTAATTTTTTATATGTATATAGTTTTTATTATTTTTATTTCAGTTTTTGTTATTTTAATACTTCATGTTAAGACTACAAGAAAATGAGAAATAATGCCTTGCCATCTAGCTGAAATAAAATAAGTTTATTTTTTTAGTTTTCATTTATTTCAGTTGACGCTTATTTTATTTAAAGCAACAATTTTTAGGTTTAGTTTTAATTTATTTTTACAAACACACACACATATAGTTCTACTACAGCAATTTGAAAACATAAATATAGTAACAAAAACAAATTCAATGATATATTACATAGTTTGAAAAATATTGGAGAATCAAATAAATACTATACTAGTAAATACTAATGATATAATATAATAATATTTTCAATTTTTTATTTTATTAATGATTTTTTTTTAAGTTTATTATTTTTTGTGTATTTATGTACACAATTATTTATTTATTGTTTGTTTGTTTGTTTGTTTGTTTTAATTTTGGTTTTATTTCATGATAATAACCCTGGTTTGTACGGTTTGAAATGCTAAAATAATAGATGCTGAACTTGAAGACAGCTAGTAATGTGTTTGTTTGTGAATCATGTTAATGTGATTCTTTAAGCCTGTGTGAATTTGAGAAGAACTGACCACCAAAAATCGTTAAAACACCAGCTGATACGTGATGTTAGTAAAGAGAAAAGATTCAAACTGAGCAGATCCAGACAGACGGAGTAATAAGCACGTGGCCTATGAATACATCATATATGTGACCCAGCAGGCCTTTGTGATGATAATTTGTAACGGGCAAATAAAGCAGCGTGCGTTACGTCAACAAAGACAGAAATGCGTTAGTCTGAATAGCAGAAGTCACTCTGTTGATGTGACTCGTGCCAGTGTGTGTGTGTGTGTGTGTGTGCCTGTGTGAATTTGAGAAGAACTGACCACCAAAAATCGTTAAAACACCAGCTGATACGTGATGTTAGTAAAGAGAAAAGATTCAAACTGAGCAGATCCAGACAGACGGAGTAATAAGCACGTGGCCTATGAATACATCATATATGTGACCCAGCAGGCCTTTGTGATGATAATTTGTAACGGGCAAATAAAGCAGCGTGCGTTACGTCAACAAAGACAGAAATGCGTTAGTCTGAATAGCAGAAGTCTCTCTGTTGATGTGACTCGTGCCAGTGTGTGTGTGTGTGTGTGTGTGTTTGACGGCTGGGCTTGTGTCTCTGAGTGTGTGTGTCTTTGTCACTGGTCTATTTAGTGCATTATCAGGTCTTTCACAATGCAACAGCTTGAGAATGACCAAGCGACACACACACACACACACACACACACACACACGTCTGCCCCCTCAGCTCTTGCACTTCGGCGGTTCTGCTCCTGTGCGTGTGATTGTGTACCTGCTGTTCTTCTGAGGTCCACGCAAAAGGCCGGGGTCAGAAAGGTCAGCAGGCAGACGCCTGGTTAACCCTCCAGGGTAAAGACATCTCCACACACACACACACACGCCACTTCAGGACAGTAAGATTATATGTGAGCAGATGGACCAGCGACAGCTTATCGTCTGCTGACATACAGCACAAATACATAGATTTACATTTCATTTTTATCAGGCAAACGCACACTGACTGCTTGTGGTGGGCTGCTTGTATTTGGCAAAAATAGAAAATAAAGTTTTGGTTTATTTGTGCAATTTCACTGTGCAAACACAAGCGTTATGTATATACTATATAGTTTTAATTAATATTTTGAATTTATTTTATTTTTTATTATGATTTTATTTATTATTTTGAATTTATTAATTTATTTGTAGGTTTACAGTTTTCATTTTAATTTTAGTTACATTTTTAGAAAGTTTGTTGTGTGCTTTTGTCATTTTTATTAGTTTTTTAATTACTATTTAGGTTTAATTTATTTTAGTTTTTATTTATTTCAATTTTCCAATTTATTTTCAGTAACTAATGCTTCAACTTAACCTTATTTCAGTTACTTCCCAAAGGAACATTGCTCATTTTTGTTTACGTTACATTTTCATCTAATATTTATATATTTATATCTAATATTTATATTTAATAAATTATTTCATTATATTTCATTTTACTTCTACGGCATTACTAATATTAGTCCATTTTTACTAATACATTTTTATCACAAAATTAAAAGTTTTATTAGTTGTGCACTGTGAACTAACATGAACAAACAACTGGTTTAAGCATCATCCTGCAGAATAATGCTGAAACTGTGCCTATGTGTGTATACAAACATACATATAGACAGAGCATCATAAAACACATCTACAATTTCATTACACAAACACACACACATAAAGACGGAGCAAAGAGACAGACACGCACAGGTCTGAGACCCCAGACAGACATGAAGGATTGTGAGAGCAGATGGTATAATGGTAGGAAACACCCAAACCAAAATATGCAAATATGCAAATAGTCATATAATAATCCCAAACGCGCGCGCGCGCGCACACACACACACACACACACACATAGTACTACTGTGGCAGTTTGGAAAAAACGTATACACTAACAAAAACAAATTGAATGGTTTGAAAAATATTGGAGAGTCAAGTAAATATGGCAAATAATAATTACGGCATACTATAGTACAGTATGTATTTATTCTTCGTTTATTCATAATAATATAATATAATAATATAACACACACACACACACACAATACTAAAATAATATAGGCTACTAAAAATTGAATGTCTGAAAAATATTGGAAAATCAAGTAAATATGGCAAATAATAATTATGGCATACTATAGTACAGTATGTATCAAAATACTGTTTATTCTTCGTTTATTCATAATAATATAATAATATAACACACACACACAATACTAAAATAATATAGGCTACTAAAATTAACTGGAAAATTGACTAACCAATTAAATGATGATGACAAATAAAATACAGCACAGGTACGTCTGCAAGATGTCTGTTAAAGATCGCTTCATCTGGAAAGCATCTGCTGTGTACAAACATCTGATAGACGTCTTGCAGACTTCAGTTTTACATGCATTCTAAATCATAAACATCTTCTAAACGTCTATTTGACATCTGATAGGAAACGTCCTATAGGCCTATTGCAGATGAGCAAAAAATACGTCTTGCAGATGTAAACGCGAATCAAATCAAAAAGTGAATCAAATAAGCGACTCGCTTTAGTGACTGTACTGATGGAGGTGTGTGTGTTTCTCGTCCTCTGATCTTGCAAATGAAAGAAGAAAACGGTAAAACAAAGAGCAAGATATATACTTCTAAATAAAAATGACGCAGACTTCGGTGATAACGCAATTTACGCAAACAGAGCCGTTGCATTTGTTCATTCGCCCCTAAATGAATAAGCGTTTTTGAACGAATCGTTGACTCACTCATAAAGACTCGTTCTCGAACGATTCAGTGCAGTTGAAGAATCGATTGAATGAATGAGTCAATATTCACGTGTAATACACTCCCTTGTCGCCATCTATTGGTGTAACTGCAGAAAGAGTGAAAAGAATGAGGTCTGCATATCCAAAAATAAGGTGTTTTTAAATTTCGGGGCGTTTTTTTCAACTTCTTTACCTGCTTTTCTAAAATTTAGTGGGTGATTCCAGGAAAAACACTGAGAGATCGCATGTATATGAATGCACACGCACGTCTGCAAGATGTCTGTTAAAGATCGCTTCATCTGGAATTGGATAGTTCAGCTTGATTGGATAGTTTAAAAAACGCTTATCCCGATTTGAAAACCCCCCTTTTTGTTCGCAGATACCTATATTTGGAAAGAATCACTGTAAAATCCCTGTCGTTAATCGTTTCGTTTGTTAATGTTTCAGTGTTGTGGAACAAATCGACTGAATAAATGAGTCAATATTCACTTATAATTCTGTCACTTGTCGCCATCTACTGGTGCAACTATGTAACTGCAGAAAGAGTCACTGTAAAATCCCCACAATTTATAATAATCTGCAACAAACACAGAGTGATACAAACAGTTAAAAGTCCCAGTGCTGTTATATAAATAATATTTTCTCAACTTTTATTGTTGGCAATATTGTTTTTAAAAAGATTAATGCAAAAAAAAAAAATTTTCAATGATGCAAAATTCAATTCTGCTGTAAAGCAGCTCTAAAAAAAAAAAAAAAGAGGACAATAGCAAAAAGTCAATTTTTCAGTTCAAGTCAGTTGAATATGTAGATATTAGATTTTTTTTTCTACAGTAACTTGTCAAATATCTGCATAGGAGGGTCTATTCAGGATTCAGCACAAACCATTTAGTTGTGTTAGTTTCTCACTACTATTAGGCACGAGGCTAAGAACAAATTAAGTCGTGGTTGATTATTATGTTTATTATGTCCAATATACATACGTGTTCTATTATGTTTTAATGCTTATTATGTGTTGTCTTATATCAGGGCATTTGAAGAACTATTGCACCACTAGAGGGAGACAAAATCAAAGCTATTGAGGTGAGTAATTCTGCAAGAGTTGATGAGAAGCTGCTATTAACAAAACACAGAGAATCTTCATTACAGCTGATCCTGGAGATGCACCATAGTACAGTGATGGTATCAGATGGAAACATAAATAAATAAATACTCATTTAAGAATTTGAATTTACATAATTTCATGAATTAGAATGATAATATTCAGTTTATAGGGTTTTTCCTGTGCCCTCAGTATTACTTTCTATTTTGTTAGTCCTTTATAAAATCCTTTTAGCTAACAAAAGCCAGTTCCTTAATTATGTCATCATCCTGGAAGTGACATAATTTATTGGATGAATTCAACAGACATCAATAAGTATTATCAATGGATGTGATGCATTCTGTGATGTTTTGTGAGGTTACTTGGTTTGTGTGTCTCTAAAACATTCATCCTGTTTCAAGGATTTCAGGTTGACGTCATCATGTTGCAGAGTTCAAAATACTGCAGCACAGGAATGAATGATCTGAGAAATGAATCTGCTTTCAAATGTAAAAGACTCTCAGAATGGTAAAGTGGTGCTGGGTAGCAGAAGAAGCTTCACTGCACAGTGTTTGTAGCTCATTGTGAGCCGACTGTGGTTTGCTCTTTTGTGAATGTAGGTCAGTGAGGAGCATGATGTCTGGATCAGCATTTGCTGAGGAACCATCCAAACCTTTCCATATATAAAGAGACTAATTAGAGTCTCTATTTGGTAATTAGGTTCCTTTTGTGAATGTAGGTCAGTGAGGAGCATGATGTCTGGATCAGCGTTTGCTGAGGAACCATCCAAACCTTTCCATATATAAAGAGACTAATTAGAGTCTCTATTTGGTAATTAGGTTGAATAGCTTCACACTGTGCCGTCAGTGCAAACATGAGATTGTTTCACTACGTTAGCAGCCGTCTGAAAAATGACTTTCAGATAAAGAGCTTCAGCTGTCTGTGTTTGAGGTCTGTAGATAAAAATAAGACCCTTACAAAAATATGCTATGATAGAAATGTACTATAAATAAATGTTACGACAAAATACCACAGTTATGTTGTCAAAGAGAAAGACCATGATACTTTGATATATGCAATTCATCTATGGTACACCAAAGTACATTATGTGTTATAAAGTGCTTTGTTTTATGTGGTTTTAAATATTTATGAATACAGTTTATTAAATAATAATAATAATAATACAATTATTTATATTTATTGTATTTAATTATTATTTTATTTATATTATTATTTTGATAAAATCAAAAGCAATAGAAAAACATTTAAATGATTGCAAGTTTTTAGTTTTTTATTCTTATCAAAGACACAACATATGAATTACAGTCTACCAAAAATTGACCGTAGAGAATTTTTTTCAGATTTACCAAGAATAACAAATAAATAATAATGTTCTGAATACAATCATTTCTGTTGTCTTAAAGAATAATATTTAAAAGTGTTTGTACATATTCTGTATATTTTATTTATTTACAACATGTTTTTAATTTCTGGATTTAAAAAAATATATTTTTGGGGAGTTTAAAATTACAAGTGTTAGGCTATGTCTGGAAAATGTAAAAAATCAAATGAAAAAAGTCATTTTTTTTTAGTTCATAAAAAAAATGTTGGCAAAGTTGTAGAATAGTCTTTTATTATTTATTTTAAAAAAAACAGACTGTGGCATACATGCATGGACCCATTTTGTTGTCATGTGATGGCATGCTTACCCATGTGACCCCTTTAGACCCCCATGACCTTATCAAGTGTTTTTCATTATTAATAAAGCATTTTGATCTTTTTATAGAGTAGCACTGAGAAACTTGACATTCATGACTCAAAAGTTCATGATGATGATGACTATGATTACTATTATTTAAGATGAGTTCACATGTATTCAAGATGCAAGGGAAGTTTAGTTACAATATTTTTAACTGAATGTTACATTAATACAAAGATGACATTTTGTTCATGTCTTGCTGAAAGTTTATTATTATTTTATTATTATTTAGTATCAGTTTCACTGTTAAACTGGTATTCTATTAACATTCTGGCAAGTTTGATTTATTTTTTATTTTATTTCATTTTATTTTTTTCTTTCGTTCTTTTCTGCCTCTGCTTCTGTGCGCACTGATGCTTTGGCAATATTATAACAAGCATGACAATAAAAGTACTTTAAAGCTGAATTGAGAGAGAGGGAGGTAGAGGGGTTTGGTTTGGTTAGTAGGAGGGGGTAAGTTGAGCTCGGGACTGCAGACGCTCCGCTCCTCCGCTGGTATTCCAGGAATGTGTTGATCATGGCGGCCGCAGTGAAGCCCGTGAAGAGCGGACTGCTGGAGCTCCGCGTTACCGTGCACCACTGGATCCGTGTGCTCGCCGCACTCAGCGAGGACTCGTTCACCGTGAGCCCCGGAGACACCGCCGATGAGTCCGCGAACAGCTGCTCGCCCGCGCCCGGAGGGGCTGTTAACGGGGATCCGGCGAACCTCAGCACCTCCCCGGTACCGGACACCATCACGAACGTCAAACGAACCGTCCGAGTCACCAAACAAGAAGTTGGAGGACTCGGAATAAGTATTAAAGGTACGAGAACTCGTTCATATCGGTTATTAAAGTGTTCTTTGTTTACTTAAACTTATTCTTCGGGAAACAGTTACTTTGAAACTGAGGATCGGTTTGATCCGTCGGTTCAGTTATGAAGGTGGAGAAAAACTAATGAACAACTCGTGAAGGCTATCTATCTATCTATCTATCTATCTGTCTGTCTGTCTGTCTGTTTGTCTCTCTCTCTCTCTCTCTATCTATCTATCTATCTGTCTGTCTGTCTGTCTGTCTGTCTGTCTCTCTCGCTCTCTCTCTCTCTCTGTCTGTCTCTCTATCTGTCTGTCTGTCTGTGTGTCTGTCTGTCTGTCTATCTATCTATCTATCTATCTATCTATCTATCTATCTCTCTCTGTCTGTCTGTCTGGGTAGGCTTCTTGTGCTATGGTCTTTTTTTTAAAATTCTCGTGGTAAAGTTGTGGTATCAGATGGAAATATTGTGATACTCAAAATAATACCACGGTTTTATATGGGTTTTCCAAGAATAATGTGCTACTGTGTCCAAAATATCTAAAATCCCATGGTAGGCTACCTTTTTGGTATTTATTGCAATCTCATACCATCAGTGCATATGAAAATACTTTAGTATCATGTTATTATCATCTGACATTTTACTGTACTATGGTATCTTTTGGGTTTCTAATTTTGTTTAGTATCTCAAAACTTTGATAGCTGTCAAATTACGTGACATATCAGTGAAGGCCTTAGAGAAACATCACTGCATTTGACTGCATGTTTCATTCATAATGATTTGCATGGATGTGGCACGTCGTTGGTCTGGTCCTGAGATTTACGGTTCGTGAATCACGCAGTATGTGTGTGTTCTCGGGGGGAGGAGGGCATTTGCACCCTAATGTCGACAGCTGACCGAAGAATTACCCATCATGCTCAGCCTGTCACTGGCTTCAGATGAAAGCTGTGGAACGAGAGCAGAGAAGAGTATGGTGCTGTTTATTTTAGGGAGCCAGAGAGGGACGACCTTGCCTTGAGTCCGAAGTGCAGTTGTACGTCTATATTTACTGTGGTACGAGTCTTTGGGCCTGAACGCTTTTGGAAACCCCTAGAAAACACACAAGAAAACTTAGCAGCACCTCTTTTCGGCTAAGAACTCTTTGCTTGGGTTTGTATTGTTTTAATTTGTCACTAGCCAGAAATTAAGTGACTAGAATTTGGTTACCCTATTGGATGTTGGATACGTCTAGTTTAATTTAGATATCATCCTCAAACTGTAACTGATTTTATTGCAGATATTTTGTCAAGTATGCATTGCATTCTCAGCATTGCCACAAGGGGCACTTTGGCCTAAATGATCAGATTTTCGATTTCTAGAGATTTGAGGGCTAAAAAAACACCCACGACAAAGGAAATTTTCTAAGTTAAATAAGACATAATTCAACACTCAATAGCGTAACCAAATTCTAGTTATTTAACTTCTGGCTAGTGACTTTAAAAGCTCCCTGCAGCTTTCCGCCAAAATAAAAGCAATCGTTAATTGAAATAAAATTAACGTTAACTGAAATTCCCAGGCAACATTATCATTTACTTTAACTTGATACACTAAAACTGAAATAAAAATAATAATAATAAAGACTATATAGACTTATAAAACAACTAATAAAAAAAATAACAAAAACGCACAACAAAATAACTTTAAAATAAAAATGGAAAATATAAAAATAAAATAAAATTCAAAATATTAATTAAAACTATAATAGTATCTCATTCATACTAAAATAACACTGGTTTAACACCTGAAAATTAAGAATTTAAGACAAAAATTTTTAGTATTGTAATTTTACCATTATACTGTAAAAATACTGTTATTTTTCATAAATACTCGATTTTATATTTTACAGTTAAAGAGTATTATTACAATAGTAATATTTCATTATATATGTGTGTGTGTGTGTGTGTATATATATATATATAATCACTTTTTAAATTGTGCAGTCCTACAATAAAGCACAGCAAACCTGGAGCTCTTGAAAAAATTGACTGCATTTTAAATCACAATTTTTATCAGAAAATCTCAATAGCGTTTTAGAGAGATGTACACTGAGATCCAAAAGTCCGAGACACACACATTTTGGTTCAACATTACGCTCAAATTCTAATGCTGATAACATAATTTGTAATTAAAGTATTTGTGCAAAAATAGAAGCATTTCCTCGAGTGGACTCAGACTTTTGAACGCTGTATTTGCAGAAGAATGATGCAATCAGCGAAAGGTTGTTGCATTTTAGCATTAGTGTGTTTGTGCAGGACGTCCTGGCAGGGACTGCAGAGGGAAATGATTGATAATGTGCTGGAGCTCAAGCGGAGAGCCCCGAGGTTGCCAAAAGAATCTGGCAGGAGCCGAGCTACCAGCCGCATGTGCGTCGCATCTGTCTTCAAAGGTCAAAAGGTCACTAGAATAGAGGGTATTTACACAAGACCACTTCTGATACACGCTGATGATGATGGGGAGGAAGAAGCCATTGGTGATTCCACTCGTGAGCACGAACACACAGTCTGCGAGTCTCTTTAGAACGCTATAAAACCTGGAACCACATATAAATGTTTTATGGTTTATACTCAAGGTGGTCATTTCACATGCCCTTGAATTTCTAGATGCGTGTTTAAAGCATAAGAGCCTTTGAGACCAGCGACACCAGCTGTCTGATCCTCATTGGAAATTTCATTCAGATGCTCGTCTTCTCCAAGAGAACGCCACAGACCGAACCATCATTTACTAAAGAAGATATATGTGTGTCGGTCTGAAATATTTGGAGCACACCTCAGCTCAAGGATGAAGACGATGAAATTTTGATTGGTATTAAAGCGTTGCCCGTAAATCACATCAAAGAGCACATCTGTAGTCTAGATTTAGAGCTGGTTTCTGATGCAGTTGCTGTGTATTTAGCAGTGCACGCTCATTACTTTTTAACTAGTTTCATTTTAAGAGAGTTTTTGTATGTGATGATTTAGTCTCCTTTGTGTGATATTTTGATTTTCTGTGATATATATTGCGATATGAAAAAATAGAGAAATTTTCACCAGAGGTATTGAAGAGCTATATTTGGAAATATACAAATAAACCCTACAAAAAAGCACAGCAAACCTGGAGGTCTTTAATTGCATTTTTATTTTTTTTATTGCATTTTAAATAACAATTTTTATAAGAAAATTGCAATGTTTTTGTTGTGGAGTGCATCTGCATAGGAAATAAAAATACCGGTAATTAAAAAAAATAAATTATTTAATATTAATATTTTATAGTGCAATAATTGCAATACTATTTATGTCTGAATTTGGGTTGCTTTTGTTGCGGAGCTCATCTGAAAATAAAAATAAATTTAAAAAGCAGAAAAATTACTTTTTACGCGTGATCAGGCAGACGGTTTTGCGGCTGTTGTATATTGCGTCCACGATGTTGTCGATAATGGCCTTTCCTGGCTGGAAGTCTCGGTGATGAAGGCACAATCTCAAGCCATGTTGACCCTCAAGTTTGGGCACAAGTTCTTCCAGGACCCAAGGCTCCTCTTGAGCACTGTAGGAAATGAAGGCGTCGTATTGGAAATCCAGATGATTTGAGGTTCGCTTCCTCTTTTTGTCATTGAGGAAGGCTAAGAAGAGGTAGTACGCGTAGACCAGCTGCCATTTAAGAAAGTGGTAGATAAATGAAATGACTAGAGTGAGAATGACAATGGAAGAGCTGTAGACAAAGCAGATGAAGTCGTAATTCACATTGCAGGATTCAGTGTTGAAGGCCGCCAGACTCTTTCCGCTTAAAGAAAGGGGATAGCGACATTCGTACATGTTCAGGTAAAGCACCTGCGTTTTATTGTTCTTGACGGCCCAGTCGATGAACCAAGCGTTACTACAGTCGCACGTGAAGCTGTTGTTTTGCAAGTCAAGCACTTTGAGTTGAGGAAGCGATTGGATGACGGTTTGGTTTATAAATTCAAGGTCATTCGTACTGGCTCGCAAGATCGTCAAACTGGAGAGATTTGCGTCGACTAAGAAGTCCAAGGACTTAAGGTGAGTCCGACCCAACGTAATCTTATTTAGGCCTGATATTGGCTGGAAAAGCCTGGATGTCAAGGCATTCCTGTTCGCAAGATTATTACTTGCCAAATCCAAGAAAGTAAGATTGAGAGTGTAACTAAATGTGTCCACGTGTAAATTCTCTATATTAAGATTCCCAGCATAAAAGACTTGCAAGTTTTTGAGACCTTTCAGGAAGTTCGAGGGGATGTAGTTTAAGCCTCGACGCTGACTATTAATCTTCAAAACTCTCAGTTCACTTAACAGGATGAACGGTGGACTTTGTAGCTCCTCTTGACTCTCGTATGAGATGTAATTGCAACACACGTCTAAACTTCGTATGTTAGGCGTACCAGCGAACACAGCACGATTTCTTAGAGTTCTTTCTGTGATTTTGATAGATCCGAGATACATGTCTGCTAAATTTATCAGGCCTGCAAAAGCATATGGATAGGTATTTCATATTTGGTTATCTGCGAGATGCAAGGTCCGAAGGGAGTGTAAAGCTTTGAAAGAGTCGTTTTGGATGGCACTCAACTTATTGTTATTCAAATCCAAGTATTGTAAGTTTTGGGGGCCGTATGTAAAGGTGCCTCTGACCGTTAACATACGATTGCTGCTCAAAATGAGCTCTTCGAGATTTCCTAAATCCTTAAATACACATGCCTTGATTGTCACAATTCGGTTCCTGTGCAAATAGAGTTGTCTTAACTGCGTCAGATTCGCAAAATCAGAGCAGTCAAGATTTCCAATGCTGTTGAGATGAAGGTCGAGGACCCGTAAGTTGGGAAGAACCTGAAGAGTGTCGTTCAGTTGCGTCAGAAGGTTCTTTTGTATTTGTAACTCCGTCAAGTTGACTAGATGTTTGAATGACGATTTATACATTCTCGATACTCCATTGTTTCTTAGGTGCAAGTCATTCAGAAGTGCACATGGTCTAAACATGCGATGGGTAAGTACAGAAAGATTGTTGTCCTCCAAGTGGATACTCCTCAGACTAGAAGAACATGCCGTCTGTAAAAACGTGTCCACCTTGAACCCCTTCAGACCGTCCAGTGCCATCCAGGTCACAGAAGCGAAACTCTGCATTATATAATCCAGTTGGTTCTCTTCAATGTGATTCCTACTGAGGTTGAGAGTCTTAACTGTGTTCAAGAACGCCTTGTCTAGAATAAACCAATCTGAAATATTGGAATGGAAACAGCTTGACAAGTCCAAGTACTCAAGACCAAGAAAGATGTTTTCCATCATCTTGAACACTGTCAAGGGATTCATCGACAGATCCAACTTTTTCAAACCAAAGAATGCTGATGGGATGTCGCTTGAGTTGAAAACTTTGAAGCCGTTCTTTCCCAAGTAAAGTTCTTCCAAATGCGGTGCTTGGAGAACAGGATGGAGTTTGGAAATGTGCTTTAACTTGTTATTGGTGAGGTTTACGAGTCTCAAATTCGAAAGTGTTGCAAATGACTGGTTTTCAGTCGTCTCTAGGTAATTCGAGTCAAGTCTTAAATGAGACAGGTTTGCAAGACCGTTGAGCAGCTTTGTGGTCACGGTTTTTATTTTATTGTTGGACAGGTTGAGCTCTTCCAGGTTTGCCAGGTCACTCAGTGCATTGCTGTGTATTTCAGATATCCTGTTGTGAGATATGTTTAAAATGATCAGATTTGAAAGTCGGATGAAATCCCCTTCAACGATCTGATGGATGGCATTGTAGGAAATATCTAAATTGACGGTATTGTGTGGTAACGGAGAAGGTATCTTCCTGTAGCTCATCCTGCTACACAGTACCTTCAGATGGCCAGAGTATTCGAAGGGGAAATAAATCGTGCAGTTACTCAAAGAAAACCCATCGGTCAGGGTTATGAGGACACAACAGTTCAAAATGAAGAAAAACGTAGAACTTTGCCTCATTTTGATGTTTCCGCCCTTTACTTGCAGTGTGAAATCTGAAAATAACAGAAGTGTTCAGTGATTTGGGAAGGAGATAAGGCGTGTACAAGACCTTAAAATAACAACAAAAACTTATTTCTCAGTCTTGACTAACCGCCTCAAACAGAGTCTTGATCTTCCCCGTAAGACTTTTTTTGTGTTTGAAAACACATGATTCTTTAACATTTTGATACTCTGTGTCTTCTGATTTACAAAAGCTATTATAGATTCAGGTAAGTGTGAAAATTTTGCATCAAAGTCAACAAAAAGACCAATTTGTTAATTCTTCTTAAAGGGGGTTTCTGTGGATTCTGTCTTTAAAAGTCTTAATTCGCCCTTCCATAAATTAAGGTCTGAAAAAGGTCTTAATCAGAGCAGAAAGTCTTACATTCATGAAGTTGCACTGAATGTTGCACGCATTGCACAAATTAACATCTCTCCATTTTTTCCTCTTGTTTTCCAATACAAAGTTTTAAAAAAAACTTAAATCAATGTACATTTACTTGAGATGCAAAATTAAGATGTGAAGTCTTGTTTTCTGATAAATAATTTAATTTAATTTATTTGGTCTTAAGGTCTTTAAAAAGTCCTAAATGTAACTTCATAAAACCTACAGAAACCCTGTAATATCTTATGTTTAATTTGCAATTAAAGACAAATGCATTTGGATTTATTGCAAACTACTTTTATGTAAACATGCAAACTCCAATTTTATCAATTTTTTGCATTATCTCCACATTATCAGACCAAAATATTTGTTTTTGTGCAATTAAATTGGCATACCCGATCTTAACAGCCACTAGTTTGATCTAGTTATCAGTATTACAAATATAAGAAAGAGATCCCTACCTTGTTTGTCTATATTTCTCAGCAGCAGCATGACATGCATCCCAGCTTATCAGAGATCTATAACCAGTTTGAAAGAAGCAGCTATTTGAGTAGTTCCCTCTGTTTTTATGCTGAAAATTGAAGGATGTGACGTCACTGCTGTACTATCTGCTGGTTTTTATCTTCATCAGCACATGATTAAAAAAAGACGTGTAAGTTGACAGAGGCGTTCGCACTGAGTTAAGAGAGGCAGTATGTCTAAAAGTAAAAACTTGGAGAAGTTTATCAACAATAGAAAAAACGTATTACCAAATGTGACCCTGGACCACAAAAGCAGTCTTAAGTGTCAATTTTTCCTACAATGTTTTTTTGGCTATTGCTACAAATATCTCCGTGCAACTTAAGACTGGTTTTGTGCTCCAGGGTCACAAATAAATCTTTTGAATTGCACATCACATATTTTTTTCATGATATGATGTTTTCAGTTAGCTAAGCATGCATTCACCTGTCTTTTACCACATGTGTAAATGATTGTTGTCTTACAGGTGGTAAGGAGAATAAGATGCCCATCCTGATCTCAAAGATCTTCAAAGGACTGGCGGCGGACCAGACGGAGGCTCTTTACGTGGGCGATGCGATTCTGTCCGTCAACGGCTACGACCTCAGAGAGGCCACTCATGACGAGGCTGTTCAGGCCCTGAAGAAAACCGGCAAAGAGGTAATTCTGGAAGGTAAGACGGAGCGGATTGTTTGGCTTCAAGGAATAGTTCAGCCAAAAATGAATTTTTTTTTACTGTTTTTGGTCCTTGGAACACAAAAGGTGAATTTTTATGTTAATATCCTGATCCTTCTTTGGTAACACTTTATAATAACTATCATTACAAACATTATATGATGCTTAACAGATCATTAGTTAATATATATTCACATAGCCAGACATAAGAGATAAATGTGACCCTGGAGCACAAAATCAGTCATAAGGGTACATTTTTTGAAATTGAGATTTATAAATCAGCTGAATAAATAAGCTTTCCATTGATGTGTGGTTTGTTATGATAGGACAATATTTGGCCGAGATACAACTATTTGAAAATCTGGAATCTGAGGATGCAAAAAAAATCTAAATATTGAGAAAATCATCTTTAAAGTTGTTCAAATGAAGTTCTTAGCAATGCATATTACTAATCAAA